AAAGATAGACGATAGACATATACGATGTAGAGGAGATAGACGATAGACATATACGATATGTAGAGAAGATAGACGATAGGCATATATGATGTAGAGGAGATAGACGATAGACATATACGATGTAGCGGAGATAGACGATAGACATATTATACGATGTAGAGAAGATAGACGATAGACATATACGATGTAGAGGAGATAGACGATAGACATATACGATGTAGAGAAGATAGACGATAGGCATATATGATGTAGAGGAGATAGACGATAGACATATACGATGTAGCGGAGATAGACGATAGACATATACGATGTAGCGGAGATATACGATAGACATATACGACGTAGAGAGCCAGAGAGGAGTAGAACAAGAAAAAACTAACGCGGCGACGATACCCACTCATTATTAAAAATCACAGTACAATAGTTAAGTTCAAAATTAAAGAAGCACGACGATCGTAACTACCTGAATGACACAAAGTATCACCTTATGTGCTCTGCATTTTGTTGCAGAATATAATACCCTGAGTAGTATTCCATTCAATGTTCCTGAAAAATATTTTTTGTTTAGATATAGCACTCGGAAACTAGTCTTTATTTCTCTATTTTTATTATCCATATCAAAACGGACTCCGGCTGATTTCAAATGAGGACCTATGTATATAATGACTGTATAATGCTCGTTAGCTAAACAATTAACATTGTTTATAGCTGTAATACTATGAGCTAATGGTTTCAGGTACTGCTTAAAATTATTATTATATGATGACAGAGTTCGAGTTCTATTGTCGAGTTATAGCTTAAGGTAGTCATCTGTCATTTCGCGATAAAATTATTTCTTTTCATGTCCGATTACTAAAACAACTCTATTGGCGATTTAAAAAAAATAATTTCAACTTTTTTTCATAACAGAATTTGCTATTGGAGAATTGAACAACAGACTCTCCAGGCAATACACAACTCGTTTTCCTCAAGCTTCGTCAGGATTCGGTCGCTGCGAACGACTTGTTCCACATCAGTTCCACACTGTCATCACAGCGAAAGCACAAGTGCGTGCAAATGACGTTAAATTTACGAACCATGTCATTGACATTTCATTAATTCCCCGCAGACGTACGCTCCTGATACCAGCTGTCAATGCTAATGCGCACAGACCAGCGCTGCTCAGACCAGCGCACAGAACAGGTCTGCTACCATTATAAATAATTCAACGTAGATGACGGGTATGGGGGTGGGAAGAAGCTTATAATTACATAGTCCAACGCTCATCAGACGCGCAAACTTTTGTGTTTACCCTGAGCAGCTCCTGCGCCCCCCAAATCACTGGTTTCAGGCTACATAAAACTGTAAGAAACGCTATTACTCATATTATCTTTCTTGTTTCAGGATGGCACCCTCAAGATACGCATGATAATACTTGCCAGTGTTACGGGTGCAGGAATTCAAGAATTCTCAGTTACCATTGGCTATAGTCCACACAGGTCCGCAGCTATAAGACTAGAAGCGTTGCAGCGCATCAATATATACGCGGTCTTCCGTAACTGCGCCATCACAGATGGTGTCGACCAAGAGCTGTGTGCCTGTAATCTCAAACGGTCATTCCCAGACTTCACAGCCATTAAATTAATTAGTCAAGGAAAATACGTGAATGTCTTTGGCAAACCATCTCAAATTCGCATAGAAATCATACGGGAGTCAAGAGACAAATTCGGGAAATCTGAGCGTGTTGAAATAGCGATCATCAAACGCAACGTCGGCGATGCAAGGGTTGTGTACGAGGTAGCTAATCCATCCGAAAAGACTGTTTCATTTTACTTCAGCTTAACTGCAACAAACTGCGACGTATCTGCAAATGAAACTCAGCAAGTTACATTACGCCCAAGAGACATGAGATTTTTATCAATAGTCGTACCATGGAGTGGGCCTGTAAAATGCAGCCACAACTATAGCCTGACCACAGACTGATGTCGGCATGGTACAATCTAAACAGTGATAACCTCATAGCTGGCGTCAATGCACGTCATTAATATGGAGTAAAGGTCATACGGAGTCGAGCAGTTTATTAAATGAAATTAGGTTCATGTCGTAAACCTAAGCGATTTTTAGGGTGGCTACTAGCATGGACTCATATATATATATATACTAGCTATTACCCGTCCTCCAGACGGAGTACGGTCTGATTTGAGGATGGCGGTTTAACCATTTATCCTGTCATCACTTGTTATTTGTGCAGGATCGTGATTTACAGTAAACGAATAAATACTGGCATATTTAGAAGCTGCGAGTCATGATAAGCCAATATTTGTTTAAGGAGAAGATTGTATTCCAAATATATATAAAATCTGAATTTTTACTTAAAATGACACAGCTCGGGCAATTTCACGACAAGGCCCTTGCATTATTTAGATATTATTATTTGAAAATAGTCAACTTCTAGTTAGAAGCATGCAAATAATAAGTCAATTCTGTATAAAAAAAGAAGCAAAATGCATTTGAGTAATATTGAAGAAGGATTTTTCTTGATATAGGTTAGTGACGGGCGGCGGGCACGGTTTAACACCTCCCGTTGTCAAATATTTGTCACACCGCACGACATCAAAACATAACGGCAGCCAGGCGCGCACGCAGCGCACACACATACACCGTCACAGTCCAGCACACTCACCACACAGCAGCACGGCACACACACACCCACACACACCACTACACAGCACAACACGCGCACCACACAGCACACCCGGGCGCGCATACATACATAAATTATTCTACATACATACATACATACAATACCTACATACATACATAACAGTACATACTACATTACATACATACATACATACATACATACATCCATACATCGCATAGCATGTGCCATACATCCTAATACATCTCATACATCCATACATGCCAGTAACATGGCCATACATCCATACCACATCGCATACATCCGATAGCATGCTCATAACATCCATACATCCATGACATCCATACATCCAATACATCTCATGCGACTTCCATACATCATGAGCACTCCGCCATAACATTCCTATTTACCTGCGCATACATCCCATACATCCATACCAGCTCCTAAACTCCACTGACATACATTACATCCATACCATCCATACATCCATTACATGCATACATCCATCATCCCATACATCCCGATAACGATCGGCAATACTCATCCATAGCATCCATACATCCATACATCCATACATCTCAGTAACTCCATACATCCATACATCCATACATCCATGCATGCTCATACATCCCTACATCCATAATTCCATACAATCCATACATGCCATAACATGCTACATCGCATGACATCGCATACATTCCATACATACATACATCATATCATCGGCATACATTCATCACATCCATGACATCCATACATCCATAAATCCATACTAATCCATACTCCATACATCCATACATCCATAGCATACTAGCATCCATACTGCCATACATCCTACATTCCATAGCATCCTACATCATACATCCATACATCATACAGTGCCAACTACATCCATACATATTCCATAACATCCGATTACATTTTTACATGCCATATTCATCCATACATGCCATACATCCATAGCATCATACATCCATAATAGCATCATCATCGGCATACATCCATACATAACATCCATACATCCATACTCCACATACATCAATAATTGCCATACATCATACATCCATACATGCCCTACATCGCATTACATTCCATACTCCATAACTCCATACATCCATACATACATACATCAATGACATACATACCATACATACATATCATTACATACATACAATAGCATACATACATACATACAACATAAATACATACATACATTACATACATACATACAGGGGGTACGATACATACATACATCACAGTACATTACATACATACATACACCTATCACACATAATGCACAATACGGACAGCATACATGCACATAGACACACATACCACATACACACAGTACACACACTACACACACACAGCACATCAACCGACACCCACCCACAGCACCACCACACAGGCACACATCACATACATACATACNCACGTGCGTGCGTGCGTGCGTGCGTGTGTACGTACACGTGCGTGCGTGCGTGTGCTTGTATCGAACAATATCACGCATCTGCTTGCTGCCAACCGTTAAACTGCGCATGTGCGCATATGACGTCAATGTTTATAAACATGAAACAACGTCATGTAGTAGTATATATGCGTGTATACATAAACTATATGTGATTTTAGATCATTATATGCTCGGGATTGCAATAATTGTAGATCCGGCCTGTGCATAACGAAAATGTGTGCTTGAAAAAAATAATGATCGGAAAAAATATTGGTCCGGCCATGGCCGGACTTGCCGGACCGGCTCGCGAATTTGCGATTCCCAAACCGTATAGCTTTGGAAGAAAAATTGAGTAACGTGATTGGCTAGAAAAATTTTAGGACACGCATTATTAGTCAACAAGCTAATATATTAAGTTATAAGCTAATATTATAAAGAAATATATTTAATTCAGAACATAAACAAATGTTACAGAACAAATAAATGCAGAAACAAATAAAATACAAAGAAATACATAACGCAGAGGAAAATAAAAACACCATATGGCGTTCGAACGCGGTGCCTTACGATCACGAAGCGAACGCTCTGGCGTTAATTGACCCACTAAGACAGATACTAAATTCGTGGATATAGAAATCTGTTAACCCTAACCTTAACCATAACCCTAACCCGAATCCTAACCCTAACCCTAACCCTAACCCTAATTCTAAAATAAAACAAAATTAGCCAAAAATAATAAGAAATAAAATAAATAAGCCCCTGTGCAAAATGCGCGATGGTGTGCGCGCGATAGTGGGCGTGTCCTATACATTTTCTAGCCAATCACGTTGCTCAATTTTTCTTCCATAGCTATATGGTTTGGGAATCGCAAATTTGCGACCGGCTCCGCCGGCCCTGAATAGTCCCATAACATCTCTGTCTTGCCGGTTTCACGTAGCTGGTTTCCTCGAGTTTTCCCACAATAACTCCATTCCACAACCTCCCGCGTTTCGCACAGTGTGTTCACAACCAAGGGCTGAATAGTTATTTTACACTTTGAATGCAGAGAAGGATGGATTTATTTGGCGCGATTGACAGCACGTCATTGGTCAATGTGATATAAAGGGCGCTAGTCATGAACTTAGATCCTTTTGGAAACAAAGGAATTAAAACAACATCTTTTGGAACCAAACTCAATGTTTGAAGGCTGTTCGTGAAGGGATATACTATCTTTTGGGTCAAATGGATATCATACACGATGTATAAAGGGCTATACTCACTGTGGTTCAATGGTACCAATTTATTTGTGACCAAAAGTGGAATTAACACCTTTTGGAAATCAGCTCTTCATATATATATATATCAAGAGTACATAATAGAGAAGAGTATGACACCGTTTTAACAGCGTTTTGCATAGTTTTCAACTTGTAAATATTCTATCAATATGTGAATAAATATATTCAAACTTTACCTTGTTTTCGTCTATGATTCTCCCTTAAATTGACTACGTCACGAATTTTCCATGGTAAAATTTGTAAAAAAAAATTGCCATTTTTTTACATTAAAAGTAAGAACCGACGTTACTAAATATATCCTCAAACTCTCATCTGATAAAAATGTTTTTACGTTGGTTAAATTTGCAAAAATCTAGACGATTTGGTAATTTCTGTTGTCTAACACTATTCCCCCAGTACTGTTCAGATACTGGTGTCTCTCTGTTTTTCACCGGCATATTAGGGCATATAAAGAAGGTATATAAGCATGAAAAGTAAACAGAAACACTAATTGTATTTACATACATTTTATTTTGTACAAATAACACACAAATATACTTATTGATGGTGCTAGAAATTCGTGACGTAATCACTTTAATCATATGACACCACAAATTTACCTGAAAATCGTATATGTTCTTCAAAAAAGTTCTTTGAATACGACACGGTTTCAGAGTTTTCCCAAATGTTCGCATGTATTCGGCGCATGTTGATATGCGGCGGCAGCACCAGGTTGTAACTACGGGACGCTGGGGGCTGTTGGGGGATATTAGGCAAGCACAGTAAAAGCATTTGTTTCGCTTCCTTATCATCAGGAACACAATGGCAACACGGCTAAAATCAGCTGCTAGCTCGCCGTGAGCACACATTTATTTCTAGCACGCTGGAAACGCTACACGCTGAATACAATTTGATGCCTAATATCCCCAACAGCCCCCAGCGTTCCGTCATAGACAATAGATAACTAATCCGATAATAAACTTGCGCCGAATACATGCGAACATTTGGGAAAACTGTGTGAAACCGGGTCGTATTCAAAAAACATTTTTGAAGAACACATACAATTTTCAGGTAAATTGGTGGTGTCATATGATTAAGGGAGAATCATAGACGAAAACAAGGTAAACTTTGAATATATTTATTCACATAATTACTGATAGAATATTTACAAGTTGAAAACTATGCAAAACGCTGTTAAAACGGTGTCATACTCTTCTCTATTATGAGCTCTTGATATATATGCAAGTCCTGGTTTATGTATTTGCCCTGCGTAGATGCGTGTATCACGCGCTCGTTTTTTTGTGAGTGCGCTGGTGTCTAGTGAACTGCGGGCAGTAAACTTGCATTCACACTTGTCACATGCAAACGGTTTCTCTCCTGTATGAGTGCACGTGTTGCTTAAGATTTTCGAAGCTCGTATATCTGTGTTCACATATATCGCACAAGTACGGCTTTTCCTGTGTGAGTGCGCATGTGTTTCTTGAGATCACTGAAGGTCTTACCCTTGTATTCACATTTGTCACATGGAAATGGCCTCGCTACCATGTGACTGCGCATGTGTCGCGTGAGTTCACTGGACGACTTATATCTGCATTCACATATATCGCACGCATATGGCCTCTCTCCCGTGTGAGTGCGCATGTGCACCTTCAGATTATTGCGGGTAGTATATCTGTGTTCACATATATCGCACGCATACAGCTTCTCTCCCGTGTGAGTGCGCATGTGTTTCTTGAGATCACCGGAGGATGTACACTTGTATTCACATCTCTCACATGCAAACGGTTTCTCTCCCGTGTGAGTGCACATGTGTCGCTTAAGATTATGGAAGCTGGTATATCTGTGTTCACATATATTGCACGCATACGGCTTTTCTGCTGTGTGAGTGCGCACGTGTGTCTTGAGATGACTGGAGGTACTACACCTGTATTCACATATATCGCACGCATACGGCTTCTCACCAGTGTGAGTGTACATGTGCACCTTCAGACTACCGAGGGTAGCATATCTGTGTCCACATATATCACACATGTATGGCTTTTCTCCCGTGTGAGTGCGCATGTGTTTCTTGAGATCACTAAAGGTCTTACCCTTGTATTCACATTTGTCACATGGAAATGGCCTCTCTACCATGTGACTGCGCATGTGTCGCGTGAGTTCACTGGAGGACTTATATCTGCATTCACATATATCGCACGCATATAGCCTCTCTTCCGTGTGAGTGCGCATATGTTCCTTGAGATGACTGGAGGTACTACACCTGTATTCACATATATCGCACGCATATGGCCTCTCTCCCGTGTGAGTGCGCTTGTGCACCTTCAGACTACCCAGGGTAGTATATCTGTGTTCACATATGTCACACATGTATGGCTTTTCTCCCGTGTGAGTGCGCATGTGTTTCTTGAGATCACCGGAGGCCGTACACTTGTATTCACATCTCTCACATGCAAACGGTTTCTCTCCCGTGTGAGTGCTCATGTGTTGCTTAAGATTATGGAAGCTCGTATATCTGTGTTCACATGTATCACACGCATACGGCTTTTCCGCTGTGTGAGTGCGCACGTGTGTCTTGAGATGACTGGAGGTACTACACCTGTATTCACATATATCGCACGCAAATGGCTTCTCTCCTGTGTGAATGTGCATGTGACTCTTAAGATGATCTAGCCTGGAGCTGGCGTATCCACACACATCACACACGTAGGACTTCTCTCCCCCAAGGTGTGGCATATCTGAAGGAGAAGGCTCCATCAGACAGATCGCTCAGATTTGCGGGGTTTCGAGCCGCTTGCTTACGCTCTCCTGCTGGGAAAAAGATAGCGAAATAAATATCATCATTGACGCACTGCAACACTGTGTAACGACGACGATGACGTTACCCGTTTCAAAGTAGATTTGTTGTAAAGATGAAATAAAGAAAACTCCAAAGTCCAAGCAGTTGTGTTCAGCAAATAGTATTATTGTTTCTCAACCCACATGCGCGCGCACAAAGGCACGCAGCCTCGTGATTCGCACACTCACCTCCAATCTCCTCACAACCAAGAAACTTCCCTTTATACATTTCTAGCTAACAAAGAAAGTCGTGCGCGCCCGGACAACCACACCCGCTGCCCACATGCACAACACTTCCCTCTCGACCGTTTCGCATCTCCATCATCTATACTACATCAGACGCGCTGCCGCCGCCTAACGCATTATGCAACCCCCGTCGTGACATTTCTAAACACTACTATTTCTACCATCTGCAAACCACACTTTACAACTGCATGTCACACTGCACTAGACGTAACAAGGTATCGTACAATGAAAGTGTCAATGACACTGTAGCTCACCACAAATAACGTTTTTATAATATTCAGAGTTATGAACTGCCTATAAAAGCGGAGCTCCTGATGTGTAACGTGTAAGATTGAGAGGATACGCTTATTCCACGTAGCTGCTATGTACCACGTGACAATGGTGTTTCCCTGCCTATAACACAACTTTTGTCAAAGGTTAATTGGTTGCATGGAAGTGTTTACTTCGTAGGAGTTTTTCTAGGCGGTAGCACACGGTTGCCATCTGTATATCGCAATAATAATTTATAAACCAAAATGAATCACAATTTGTGACGGTAGATGGTGCTATACCCGCTTTGTAGCAATGGCATTCGAAATAAATAGATTATGCTGCGTTCCGACATGTTTTGTAAAACTTTACTCTAATATAGACATTTTATCGGCAGGCTGGAGAGGAAATACCAATATTGCATTAAAGATATTGTCAATGAAATCTTGTAAAACGAACCAGATGAGTGTGACACCACAGACTGTTTGTTATGGGCGTTTTTTGCATAAATTGCATAAACCTACCTAATTTGCATAATTTTTTTTTTAAATATCAAAACCCCTAGCCCTTATCACATACCAAAAATGAGCAAAAACCGTTCAACCTGAACTGACTAATGGCAATTTCCATTTTTCCCAAAAAATCGCCGTGGCTCGAAAGTACGCCGACTGGCGTGCTCCAAAATAGGACGTTCCATATAGGAGCATAGCAGTAACAACTACACCCAATTTCAAACATGTGGGTCAAACGGTTCCTGAGTTATCGTTGACCAAAACCAAATGTTGACGGACGGACGTACGACAAACGACGACCCATGGCAATAGCTCAGCTTGACGATGTCAAGGTGAGCTAAAAATGGGGGCCATGGCTACAAATGCAAAAGTCGGGACATTGCCAAATTATGAAATATAGCAAAATACGCGTGAGTGATGTATGGAGAGTGAAATAAAAGCTTTTGCATCTCACAGAGAAAAATTCTAATCGAACTATGGCAGGGCTACCGCTGGCATTCGCCACCTTCACAAAATGCGATGAATAAATAACAGTGGCGATTTTACTACATTAAGTGACGAATAATTAATTGCTCAGAAAATTAGAATTGACGAATGAAATTGTCAAATGAAGTATCGTGTCATGAAAAGTTTTCGTACACATCTTTTCTCGTACCCATCACCTGTTTATGCCTTGCTTAGCATATACGATATAGTAAACAGTGGCTATAGTTTTTGGCTCAGCTGACGAAGTCAGATGCAGCTTGTAGAATCACATGAATGTCCGTGCGTGCGTCCATCCGTCCGTCCGTCCGTGCATCAACAGTTACGGCACAAATCTTAACCACGCGACTTACGATCTTGATATTCGGGACGTCGGGGGGGAGGGGGGGATCGCGAAAAGGACTTGGGATGTCAAATTTGGGGGTCAAGAGTCAAAGGTCAAAATGTGTCAATGGAGGGGGAATATTTGCCCCTTAACTTAAGGTATAGGAGGAAATACAGAATTGCGGCACAAATCTCAACGGTTCGACCTACGCTCTTAATATTCGATGTATAGTGTGATGGGGAGAAAACCCATCCCCAGTGCAAAATTGGAAGTCACAGGTCAAAAGGCAGTGGGGGAAAGGTCAGATATCAGACATTTTCTGAGGACACGGTCTAACGGACAGAGTGCAAAACTTTTTTGTTTCAGCGCTGACCTACCATTTTTATCACTTTATTGAAAGGACCGTGAAATCTACTTTCCGCTGATGTGCGAAGAGTAAGTGTCTGATAACCTTTTGACCTTCAAGAGGAGGGTTAAACATGGATTTGTTGACTATTAACAAAGGACTGAACTGCTTTTGCTATTAGAGCCCCCTCCACCACCCACCCTCCACCACCACTACGCTCGCGCTCGACGCGTATCCATGATAACGTTAATATAGCAAAGTCATTAAAATTACACAGCTATATCTTTATTAGTGTACTACCGGTATAGCAAAGCCTATCAACGGGGTGGGGGGAGGGCGCACTTGATTCGGTTGCTAGTGAGTTTATCAGAAGAATACGCGGCTACAGTACACGTCAGTTGAGCGCTGTCGCTCTGCGGCACTTGTTTATTGGTGGAGCCATAATAAAAATATTGTTACCTTACCTGACTGACCCGCCAAAAAAAGCCAACTCAAATTTTTTTATCGATCTTTCCCATTCTATTTTTTTACAAATTGTACAGTATATCTGCAGGCTGTTACACAAATCTGTAGGCAATACAATTTATCAGAAGTAGATAATAGGGAATATTCCCTATTATCTACTCTGATAAAAACAAACATTCAACATAGAATGTATCTCCACACAAGCACCCGAGCATGTAGACACCATGCTAAATTTGTAAAAAAAAAAACCTAAAAAAAAGCCGACCTTCCTACCCAAACATTTCAGCCTGGGTCGGGTGAGGGCAGACAAAGATTTTTTTAATTGTGGCCTGGCTGAAAATAACTTTGGTGGCTCAAGTCTTGGCTCAAATTTTAAAACATGCGGAGGCAGCCCTACTATGGGGAGTCAGTACAGATAGAGGTGCCTTACTGTTTTTGAAGTCTCTATTTCTTGGAGTCTCCCCTGCTTTGGAATCTCCTTTATCTCCTAGTCTTCCTTTCTTGAGGTCTCCCACACTTTGGAATGACTGGGAGTATGGAATCCACGAACCAAATTGCAGCCTTAAAGTGGCCGATTCTCACAGCAAAATGCATAGATAGACCTACTGTGAGCTCACCTTTGTTGAAAAAATTTACTACAATTTATTCGTATTGCTACTTTTATAACATTTCTTTAGCAAATCTAAACAGTCTTACAAAAGTATTACTACAGCAAATTGGGAGGAAGCAGAGGGGGGAAAAGGGTCGGATTTTGACCCTGTAGTGTTGACGCCGTCTTTAGAAAATGGCGTACTTTTCCAGGTTAACTTTCGATGCATAGGGTCGTCATTTCATCCAGTCTTCGACGTTGAGAGTCACTTTTCCGTCCGGGTTTCGTCATTCGATTCGTCCATTTATTTCCGTATTGACATTCTCGAAAGGATTCTCCCCGGGTTTTCTAGTCTCAACCTCAGACTCTGACGGGCGTTAAAGTCGAGTATTAATTCGCAGCATACGTGCCCTCGGACACTCACAAGTCTGGACACAAGACTATGGGTTTACACAAATTTCTCACTGTCTGCGCCAGTTCAGACAAAGTCCCCGTTTTAGTGTCCTACGCCATTAGGGGTAAGATTTACATTATCTTACGCCAATAAAGGGTGAAATTTCCTACCGCTAAATACGCCATTTAGGGACCAATTATGATATGCTTTGACGAGCGTGCGTACCAAGTAGTATCCTGAGTGACCCCCCCCCCCCGGTAAAAAATTCCCTCATATTTATGCTGCACGGTATTGCATATGTGTGGTCACTGGTTACTGATGTGAATGTTTACATATCCTGGACACAGCCGAGCAAACACAATTTTCATAAATGAACAGTTATTTTCTATGATAAAACAAGTTATAGCGGAGCTCCGAGGGGGCCGAAGCCCCGCGAGAGCGGAGCACCATACATATACTAGGACGAGTGCATTTTTTTGCTGGACTTCGTGGTCCGAGACCCCCCATCCCATAGTGCATTGCGCTTAAGCTTGCCTATATATATATATATGTTTTCCCATTGTTTCGATTGTTCCATTTCAATGGGGTTAGCCGCTAGCTTTGTCAGCAGGTGGCGCAGCGGGAGTTAGAGGTGTTACAACCGATGCCGCAACTCTCGAACCTCGATGTGTCAGTTGGAAAGATAAAGGAATCGACGAATAGCCGATCGGTATCGTCATAGCGATTAAACCAAGTTAAAATGCCTTCGAAAGTCTGCAGCGATACTTCAGAGAGGCTGATTAACTAGCACACTTTAAGTAAGTGTGATAATCGAAAATAGCTTTATAAACATTAGTTATTAGCTCATTTTTACTTTGAGGTTTGCGCAGTAGTTTTCTTCGCGTATCTCCATGCAGTCTATAGATTTATAAAACAACTGTTAGTGTTATCATTGACAGCATTTAATTATCGCTACAGAGCAGTATAATTATAATAGGACAATGCCAGTGGCAACGTTCAGCTGGTAATTGGTAAATAATCGAGGGCAGGGTCTCAGTACGACGGTACCAGTACCTGGTACCAGATACTTGGCTATATTAATCACAGGCATTCATTCTACAGATCATTCTATCTGGTTATATAGCGATTGAGCTATATAGATATATATATAAATATATATATATATGTGTATATAAAGAGATATATATATATATATGTATATATGTATATATACTGCATATTAAAAGACATATATATATATATAAAGGCATATATACACTATGTCCTTATATAGAGACTGAGCTATATATATAGAGATATATAAATATACATATAAAAAGACATATATATATATTATATAGATAAT